TCATATCCATGGTTGATCGGATCGAAACATGAACCCTTCTATCGTTTAGACTTTTTCTTTGAGAAAGCTAGTTCCTGAGATGCTAAAAGTGGCCAAGCTTTGCCTGCTGTCCATAGAGACCTCTCATGCTTCTTCCTCGAAACGAACCAAGCATTCAACTTGTAGAAGGTGAATGAGGCAATAGCAGTCACAGGCAGACCACAACAACCTCTTAGAAGGATATTGAATATCTCTGCCATGTTACTAGTCATGAAGCCCCATCTCCAACCTCTGGTGTCATATGCAAGTGACCACTTATCCTTCGACGCCATCAACTCGCTCAAGAATTGCCTGCCATCAACATTTGTGGCTAACTTCAGGGCATCTAGCTTGTCTTTGAATAATTGCACCTCTTGCTGCCTGCAAACCTCCTCAAATAATTTGAAGTTGTCCTTTGTGTGATGACGCCTTATAAGATTCTGAGCAAGGTGTCTAGTGCACCACCGGTGATGTATTTGTCCATAACCAGGAATCTCTTGTTCTACGACATTCAGAATGCTAGCATGCCTATCGGATATCACACAAACATCACGTCTTAGACCAATTACCACTTGTCTTACTAGCCTGAGAAACCAACACCAACTATCCGTGTCCTCCTTCCGAACAATCGCAAAGGCCAATGGCACAAGCTGGTCTTCTGTATCTGTCCCAATACAAACAAGCATTGTGCCTTCAAATTTTCCTGTAAGAAAGGTCCCATCAATTGAGACGACGGGCCTGCAATGCTTGAATGCTTCGATGCTCTGCCCGAACGCCCAAAAGGCCCTTCCAAATACCTGGCTACCATTCCTTGTTTCACCCTCCTTAGGTAAATACTCGAAGTGCATCCCAGGATTTACAGCCCTCATTGCGTTCAACATTACAGGGAGGCGCTCATAAGCTTCTTCCCAATTTCCAAATATTATTTCCAGTGCACGCTGCTTTGCTCTCCATGCTTTCCCATACTTGACATAGTAATTGTATCGTTGGAAGATGATCTCAACCAATGCGGACACCGTAATGGTTGGCATATGCTTCACCATGGGGCATAACTGCCTTGCAATGAACCTAGAATTGAGCTGCAGATGGTTCTCTTCTGCCTCAGTAGTGGCACAAACATGTGGTTGCTTCACTGAGGTAATCTTCCATTTGCCTGCCTTCGTCTTCCTAGCACATACTCTCCAACCACATTGTTGTTCTTCACAAGCAACAGTGTACCTCTTCTCCTTGAATGAATTGATGACCCTAAAAGGTCGGTTGTGTACAATGGAGTACTCTTGCAACCATGATTTCAACTCATCCATGGTAGCAAACAATATGCCCTTCCGTATGATGAGGCAACTGCTAACATCAGGCACTGTTGTATCACTTGGCCCACCATCAACTACTGCCCTGTGACCATGGCTAAGGTCCTCGAAATCACCAACTAGTGGATCTCTCCAAGGCAAGACCCTAGACAATATCTCTATTTCCCTAAAATTGAGACGACCAACAGGGCGATCGTCATCAGAGTCTTCGACTATCTCCTCTACGAAGGATTCATCATCTCCAGCTATCTCCATGTCAAAACGGTTCGTAGCCCTAGCATCACCAAAGTCTTCTTCACCACTAAGATCATCTTTGTCTCTAAGCTCATCCTCAATAGAAAAGTCTCCGCTAGCGTCGTCCAAACCTTCTTCTACATCACCAATTACATAATCATCATCCTCTTCATCACTATCATGATTGCCCTCACCATCGGCAACTGGATTCTCCTCCTCATCTCCACCGTTGCCTAGTTGTGTGACAAGTATTTCTTCTTCAGACAAAGGACCATAACCTATGTGAGCGGGGGAAGATGGCCATGCTTAGAAGTTATCATTTCCTAAGCCGGACTCCTTACTACTAAATCCAAAGATCGCACTTCTGAGGCCAATACAACTGCCTTGTAATCATTCCATTCAGTCTCGCTTGTAATTTTGAGCAACCGCTTGATTCGAGGACCCTTCGACGACCCAACATCTATGACACCTTCAAACTGAACATGCACGTCTCCTTCATTCTAGCCTAACTTAACCTTCACTCGCTCCACTAACTAGGTCAAAGATGGTGTTGCAGAAAAAATCAACAACTCCTCACACATGTCCAGAAATTCCAAACTATCATCTCTTGTCCTAACAATACGGCCTCCATGATGCAACCTCACTAATTTATCCATCTACAACCATCACACAATAAGTAGTGTCACATATCAATATATCATGCGAGTTTCAATCCAATAAGTAGAAACTAAAATATATCATTTCATCTTTTTCAACCCCAACAACATAATCATTTGTAGTCATAAAAAACTGAAATGTAATGACCAACAAATAAGTAAAATACATACTAACCCTAATGACCAACAAATAACTAACCTTAATGACACCTACAATAAACAAAGAACCCTAATGATCAAAATAACTAGAAACCAAACTAACCTAACATGTTCAGCACATAAAACAGTTAAACAATAATGCACTCAATCAACCTAAGCCATACATTTTGCAAATGCAAATACACATATACCAAAACACCATACACCCATGATTCCACATGATTAGAGACAATGCAAGCATATCTACGCGGATAGATTGGAGGAGGGGAGGGACCATTACCTCGAGGAAGCTTCGGGAGACGAGATCGGGGCTCCTAGGGTCGCTTTTGGGAGTTAGGGTTTCGTGGGGGCGTGGGGGGAGCCGAAGAGCAGAGCCCGCCGGCGGTTTCAGAATGGAGGGAGGAAGAAGAAGGGGGCCTCGGCGTGGCTTTAAGAGTCCAGACCTCGGCGTTGAGTCGGGCCGCGCCGAGGTCTGGTGGCTCGGCGTTAAGTGACCCAGCGCCGAGATATTGGGCCACGAAGCGTTGCTGGGCCGCGCGCCTGATGGTGCCAATAGCTCGGCGTGTAGTCCTGCAGCGCCGAGGTTAGGCCTTTGGCATTGGCTGACACAACGCCGACGTGTCGGACCCCATGCGCCACCGTGTTGCCGTCGACCGGGGTCGTCCGTGACGTGGCAAGACCTCGGCGTCGTGTCAGTCGACGTCGACCCTCATACCTTGGCGTCATGTTCAAAGACGCCTAAAAATGGTCTATTTTCAGCAAATGTTTTGGCATGGGTTTTTTTTGTAAAAAATATTTTCAAAACAGACCAAAATGCAAAAATTTCACAATCATCCCACCGAAGCGAAAGAAAAATCGGTAGGTAACCGGCAATTATCCATCTATTGCATGAGAGTATTATAAAAAACGTAAAATGAGTAGTTTGAAAAAGAACTCATATGTTATGCATGGACACACGTCTCACTACCACTCTCTCAATTCCAAATTATAAAATATTTTACTTTTCATGATATATTGCTTTTGCTATATAATGTATTTAAGTGCAAAAATATTGTATATCTACAAAAACCAAAATTTCTTATAACTTAGACTGTCTACAACAACCGTGACCCAAAATACAAGATCCATTCGTTCTTTGGGTAGCGCTATAGGCAAAGGGTTCAATACCAATTTTTTTGTCTTCTCCGACAACAAGACCCAAAAGACAATACTTTCTGCAAATGGGTCTCCAGGAGAGAGGATATTCAGATTTGGGTTATGCCTCTGCTAGCATAAAAAAGGGTCTTCTATATAGGTACTCTGTTGGAGGCTATTGGTATTGTGTTGGAGACCTATTTTGGATAAGAAAGTATCCATTAATTTTTTTTCCGACCACGTAGGCCTAAAAGTCAATTCAACCTTCTAAGAAATGGCGAAAGTACTCTCCCTTTTTTCAAGTAGATGCATGCCTTTTAGTGTATATTAGGACATAATGTATATATAGATGTGTAGCAAAAACTATATACTTAAAAAAACTAGAACTACTTGTAATTTAGAACAGAGAAAATAGCTTATTATTATTGGCATAAACATGATACAACAAATAAATTATTATATGGGCGCGGCTAGAGCGTGCGCGTGCAGGATTTGGAAGTTTGGGGCGTGTTCGGCTGCTGGGACGTTACTGCTGCGGCTAGCTGGCCCGCGTGTTCGTCTACAGTAACATGTGAGGGATAGCAGCCAGCCCAGCCAGCCGAACCTGCCCAGCCGAACAAGGCCTTGGTGCGCAAAGCAGAGCTCCCAGGCTGGTCGTGTGTCCTGCGCGGTGATCAAATTTTCGTGTCGACACATTTTCTGGTACGCTCGGTGGGACTACAATCATCAAGATCATTAACACACCCCTCGCACAACAGTTTTTAGTGGCAAAACACACACACACAACATCTCTTCTTCCCCGACTCTGGCGCCTTGCCCTCGCCACCGCCACTGCCTCGCCGCGGCGATGAGATAGGGTTCAGGCAAAACCCTAGCTCACCCGCGGCGCCACCTTCTTTCCCTCTCCCCCCACCTACCGCCGCCGCCACCCACTCCCCTAAACCGCCCACGAGCCATCCTCACCGCCTGGCCGACCTTCCTCCCCTAGGACGGCTCCTTCTATACCTGTCGGAGTTGGGGAAGATAAGAGGAGAGCTCGTCGGAACCCTAGAAAAGCAGATTTGGGAAGAGGTGGAGAGAGAGGAGGAGGCCTACCTGGTGCATATCCGTCGCCGGATCCTCCATGGCCGCGTGCAGGGAGGCGGTGGGCGCGGGCGCAGGAGGTGCTCGCCGGAGGGATGGAGGGAGGAGGAGAGGTGTCTTGGTGTGGCGGGCGGAAGGCGGGCGGGCGGGCGGGCGGGTGGGGTGTGTGCGCCGTCTTGGCGAGGTGTGCAGGCCGAAGCCACAAATGATGCGCGTTTAGTTTTTAGCATTTACGTTATTATATATATCCTGTTGTTGTAACACGTAAGGATGTTTGCTATCATACATAAAGCTTTATTAGTCTTTCCTAGCAAAAGGGGAGTAGGAACCCAGTGTGGCCGCCTCTATGGAGCTCCGCCGGTGCAAACCTGCTCTCTCTTTTTTCCCCATGAGAAAAAAGCTAGCACCGTCATTCTTTCAGTTTCAGGAGGTCCACGAACTTCTTGACGTTGTCATGCGACGACCCACCCTCGGCGATGGACCTGCACGCCGCGTCCCTGAGCGCGCTCACCCTCTCCCTGATCCCGTCGTCTCCGAGGACTCGCTCCAGTTTGCCGCTCAGCTCCTCCTTGGCCACGACGCCGTCCGGCCCCGGCGCCACCGCCAAGCCGGTCCTCCACACGTTGCAGATGTAGCTCTCGTTCTGGAACTGGTCCGTGAAGTAGGGCCAGCACAGGAACGGCACCGCGTTCCGCATCCCCTCCAGCGTCGAGTTCCACCCGCAGTGCGACACGAAGCACGCCACCGCACGGTGAGCCAGCACCTGTCCAGTGGAAGGAAGCACCCCACGGTGACGATATGCTGTGCAGGACGACGCTGCAAGTATGGCGTGGAACATATGTACCTGCTGCTGGGGGCACCAGCTCACGATCATGCCCCTGCCGCCGACACGGTCCCGGAACTCGTCGAGCCACGCTTTGCTGAGGCCAGCGGCGAAGTCGGGCCGCACCACCCACAAGAACGGCCGGCCAGCGAGCTCCAGCCCCAGCGCAAGCTCCTCGAACTGCCGCGGGTTGAACACGGTGAAGCTGCCGAACGCCACGTACACGATGGAGCGGTCGGCCTGCGCGTCGAGCCACTCGAGGCACCCGGTGTCCTCCAGTAAGAACTGCCCCACCGGTCTCTGGAACTGACGGTCGGCGAGCAGGGGGCCGATGGGCATGACGTCGGGGTACAGCTTGAACGCGCCGGGTTCCGCGTCGCGGAACGAGTCGCACACGATGACCTCGGCGAGGTCTTTGGCCTCGTTGTTCCGGATGACGAGCTGGAATATGGCCGGTTGGCCTTCCGGCGCGCCGGCGTTGTCCCACGGTAGCTGCGACGTGTGGAGCGGTGGCATCCCCGGCGCGAACTGGAATGTCTCCTGCCGTTTTGGCCAGCCTGCACTTGTTCGAGAATCACCAATCAGAACGCAGGCCATCAGGCAAGGCAATTCACAGTTCTAAAAATATGATGCCAAAATTGGCCCTCAAAGAGAATATACTCTTCCTGCGCTGACAATTCTACCGTTGCGCATGACACATGACAGCAAAAGTATCTGTAAAAGTATATATACTTAGCAGTGCTGACAAATGAGCAGCTACTCCTACGAGGGTTGTAGTATCTCAGTTGCAAACCTTTCTCGTCGATGAAGCCGTCCTGTATCATCTGAGGAATTCTCAACGTTGTGTCGAGGAAGGCAGCCGACCCGGGCCAGAAGGCGGCGGCCCTGATGCCGAGCTTCTTGGCGACCTCGAACGCCCACCCCATGGCCTCGTCGGCGATGAGCCAACTGATCTTTTTGCCCCCGGACGCCTCAGTCCTACCCACAAGCTCCTCCAGGTAGCCCGGCATGTGCCGCGACAGCCGTCCACGAGCTTGCCGAGGTCCTTGCGGTCGTCGCCGTCGGCCAGCCCATCTGGGACGGCCACCAGGTGGATGCCATCGACGTCGAGCGACCGGCCACTGCCGTCAGCCGGCATCGCGTCTAGCACGAGCGCGTGGTTGGCCTCGGTGTTGACGAATGTGACCTCGATGCCATTCTCGACCAGCCGGTGGGAGAGCTGCATCAGAGGGATGACGTGGCCCTGGGCAGGGAAGGGCAGGGCCAGGACGTGAGGTGCCGCCATGGCAGGAGCTGGGAAGTCAGAAGCAAAACCAAGACGTGGATCGGCGTCTGAAACCTTGTGCTTGTGGTGATGATGGCGCGCGTCTCGGTTGTGACACGAGTACCACCGAGCTGAATGGATCTGGAGTCACATGGAGGATTGGCGGCCGCTGCCTTAGCTATAGCCAGATAATTTTATTTTTTTCAAAAAACAAACTTAGAAACAGAGCATTCAATATATCACATACTCCTTTAAAAAAAAAGAGGAGTATACAGGACTGAATTCTCTACTCTAAGACCTCTGTATGTCGTATATACCCATTCAGACGCATCCAAGTCCAACAAATATTTAGGGGATGCGCATTTTAGCATTTTGTTACACATTGCAGTCTGGGTAATTTTGGTAGTTCTTTTGTTTGCTGGGCAATCTGAAAAACATGTAACAAAGCTTGTTTGAGAACAAGTTAATCAAAAATCCAGTCGAAATCATCTGTCATGCTTGTGTCCTCATGTGATGCGATGTTGGCATTAAATTCTGACTTAGAGAACCTTTGACCAAAGTAAATTTTGACATTAAATTCAGACTTACTAGCCACATGAAACAACCAAAATTCATATGACTATATAGTGAATGCTAAATATTTGACTCGACCAAATTAACAACAAGGTTCACAGCATTATTACACACATCAAACAAAGATAAGAGGAGCGAACCTCCACATTCATAACATTTTCCCAATAGAAGTCCCAAGTTTAGACAACACATTTGTTCAAAGACTAATTCAAAACCATATATACACAACAGAGAGCCCCTAACTATACTCTCTTTGATAGAGAGGACTTGTTGCATGGTCTTTCCTAAAGTAAGCTTTAAAATGATTGTACCAACGCCAAGAGCATGCGGATGAGATCTGTTTCGCATCAGTAAGGCTCTAGTACTACCGACCAAGGGTAGATATAACGATTAGGGTGGTGGGGAAGCACCCCCAACCCCTTCTATAAGTTCTAGCCACTGGACAACTACTAGAAGGACATGGAATGTCGAGAGGTTGAAGACAGCGTTGACGGTCACTAACATCAATTATAAACCATCAACATAACATGTATTTATACTTAATTCCATCACCAAACATAGGTATAGGGGTTTAAACTAATAAATTCCATGAGTTTTGGTAAATCTATGTTTTCAGCAGGGTTTATCCAGAAAACCGCCAAAGGGGACCTGTTCGTCAAATGAAATCGCGTAATTCCACAGCATAACAGACGTGAGAAGACTCTAGAAGATTTCAGGAGGTTCTCCACCGAAGCGGATCCCGATACACTCGGCCCCACATGCAGGCCGTTCGACCCCTAAGGTCCACCAGTTAGCCCCTCGTTGCTAAGTCGGTTCCCCACCGCCTCCTAGGTTGCATCTACACCGTCCTTTAAGTCGATTTGATCCAAGGGCACACGATGGATAATTCGGCCCATATAAACAGCCATGTACCCCCCTCCCTGAGCAGTTTCCTGAAACCCTATTTCATATCATGAGGATCAGAGCCAGCTATCAAGAGAAGATTAGTCTTTCATATGATCTAGTCTTATAAATAGAAATAGTGAGATAGAGAGTGAGGAAAGAGTTTGGAGGAGGGGCCGGCCTGCCGGTGCTCTCTCTACGGCTTGTACCTTGGCGGATTCAAGTTCTATCTGAGCTTGCTTCTGAGATTTCTCTAGTAATCAACTTCTGATTCAAGTAAACATCTTGTTTATATTGTTCATCAGGTTTGCAACTCTTTTGAGTGTTTTATTCTCTACATAGGGGGAGTAAAGTATCAATCGTAAGTGTAAGCGTGGTACTTAGAATTGGGTTAATCGTGGATGCACCCTACATTCTGGAAGGTGGTAGATCGCGTGAGTGACATAAGTTCTATATAGCCTATACTATATAGCTTCGTTGATCCTTTGTAGTCCACCTCCTGTCTTTAGGCGCACATAAGATGCGGTTGCACAGGAAAGCATCCTCTCCTGGTGTCTTTCCCTAGTAATGTCCGCAGTTGGATAGTAGAAGACATAAGCTTACCTAAGTCAGAACTAGAGAACTTTAGTTATCCTCTCTACGCTCCTATTTATCCTTAGCCTTATTGCTACTCCTAGTTAAGTTAAACCTTAACCTAGTCGCTATCCCTTGTTAAGTTAGACCGTAGCTAGTCTCACACGTTTCCCTGTGGATACGATACTTGGAATACTTCCGGGTGAAAGCTACAGCGGTATCCGGGCGCTTGCGGATTTATCTGTGTGCGCTAAATATACCAACAAGCTTTATTGTGCCGTTACCGAGAAAACGATTGCTGAATTAACTACGACCCTAGCTTAGTTTTTTATCTTTTATCTTCTTTCTTTTATTTTATTCTTTTCCTTTTTATTATGGATTCCACTCCTATCTATCAATACGCTACACCTACAAGAGCGTGCCTAGAACCAACGAAATCTTTAGAGCATATCATAACCCTTGGCTATGAGCTGCGTCCGTATTTCATAAAATTAATTCGGGATCAATCCTTCTCTGAAGAAGGCAACGAAAACCCATACTCACACATACAAGAGTTTAGACAGATTCGGGTATGCACATAGTAAAAATAAGAAACAAACATGTTTAAGTTATACATTTACTTGATCCAACCTTATTAACTCAACATGTTTTCAAGCTTGTTCCTAGCACTACTTTCTTGATCTTATAGTTTTAACCAAATGAGCTAAAATATTACACATCCTATCTCTAGAAGATGATAGTTATATTCATATAAAGTTCGATACATTATGTAAAGATAGACAATCCTTCCATGGGTTAAACAATTCAACCCTTTCTGCTAAATGAACTTAAATGCTACATTCATACTCAATCTTTTGATCTTATCATCCATGTTGTAATTAAACAAAACACATAACATCACCTTCATCTTGTTCAATGTGCCTAAGGCTAGGGAAGAATAAGTAAAGTTTTGGTTCTGTTGGTGTTCTCTCACCAACAGAGCCCATGCACTTGATCTCTACCTTATTTTATGAGCAGGATATACTTCAAGCAAAATGTGGGGGAAGACATTCAATTCCCCAAATTTCTATAAGTGAAGGTCCTGAATATATCAAACCAAAATCAAAACTCACAACCAAGACAGGTTTGGTGGAAGAAGGTGACATCACCATTAGAGGCATCATCACAATAATCTTTGTTTTCAGAACAAACCAAGGTACTTGATCAATGAACTTCACAAGGAGAAGTCCAGATTGAAGGACTTACGACACCGAACCCTCACCGAAAGAGCTAATTTGGGGGAGAAGCACTCCCGTGTATCCAGGTAAGTATTCTTTCCCCTTTTTTGTCTTAATTTTAGTTTCTTTTCAATAGTTAAAAAAATGATAAATGAAACAAAATAAAAAGTTATCTTTATAATAATTATATATATAGCTATAGTAATAATGTGTGATCTAGTAAAATTAAAAATAAAATAAAAGGTGCGTTTAATTTGTTTTTAAGAGCTAAATAAAATAAAGAGGACTCAGAATAAACTCTTAATTAGAAATGATGAATAGTTGCTCTTTTGTAATTCCTTTCAAGTTTCTATTTTTCAGCCGCGAATTCTCCCGAGTAATAGATACGACTGATTTGATATAAAGATTTACTTTAAACTCGAAATCCGTGGGTAGCGAATGCTTGATCTAAGTCTAGATAATTGACGGATATGATATGAGAAGGTCTGAGCTGCTTTTTATCTTGTTTCAAGTGACACTAAAGTTCTGGTGATTTATCTTTCGAAAAACACAAAAATGCTACATGATGAGTTCCTGTATGACAAAGTTTGAATTTCTACTAGAGCCATACATATTATTTAGGCTAGAAAAACTTTCACATATATGATATTTGTTTTTGTATTGAGTGTTGTCAAGCTTTTGTTGACCCTTATGAGAGGTTTGTCATGCTCTTAAAATCAAGATCACGTACACACCACATATACCTACTGCTCCTACACTAGGAGTACGCAAAACTATGCCTTCCATCTAGATCCAGCAAAAAAATGTTTTACTCCTACACTAGGAGTGAACACAAAATATGCTCGATAGGTTTTTCATCCATCAAATAAATGCTCTAAGTTCTTGTTACTATCTCTCAAAGTTTTGTTGCAGGAAAGAGACATGGAGCTATGCAAAAGTTCTTCATAAAAAAAGAGAAGAAAAAAAAGAGATGAGAAAAAAATGGACAAGTGTCCAAAATATTATAAACAATGGGTACTCAGATGCTCGCCTGAAAAAAAGAGAAAAGATGAATAAGATAGCCCCTGTTCTCTAGTAAATATTTTTAAGTTTTAAAAGAGAGACAAGTTTTTAAGGAGCATAGTAAAATTAGATTAGCCACCATATATATCCACATACATGCACATCTTGATTTCATTGTATGACTCAACTCTCTTTGGATCCATTGTTTGACTTTACAACATATGCATTGCAAATATGCTCTAGCTTTCTTCCTATCTATGAACTCCACATAAGTCCTAGTCGTAGGTAAAGAAAAGGCATAACATCTTATTGTCTTGGTGAGTATTCGCAAATACCACATATATTGAGAGACTTGAGAGTGTCATACAATGGAATCTCTGAGTTTTATTTTAAAAACTTATAAAAACTCTGGAACAATGGTAGAACAAAGAACTTAAGACATAGTGCTTGACTTGATCGTTCTGTCTTTCCATTGCTCAAGACCCAAGTGAAGGCTGAGAAGCCCCATGACTGAAGTTAATATGAGCAAGTTTAAAAGTCAGATCTGTTTATTCTAATTCGGAGGAGAATTTTTTATTGAATGCATATGTACTTTTGAGGCGTGAAAATATTATAGCAACTCCTAATCCATAGCTGAGTTTAGCTTTGCTCAGGGTCTGGCAAAGGTTAAGCTGGGGGGAAATTGTTGACGGTCACTAACATCAATTATAAACCATCAACGTAACCTGTATTTATACTTAATTCTATCACCAAACATAGGTATAGAGATTTAAACTAATAAATTCTATGAGTTTTGGTAAATCTGTGTTTTCAACAGGGTTTATTCAGAAAACCGCAAAGGGGGACCTATTCGTCAAAGAAAATCGCGTAATTCCGCAGCATAACCGACGTGGGAAGACTCTAGGAGGCTCTCCACCGAAGCGGAGCCTGAGACACTCGGCCCCACATGCAGGCTGTCCGACCCCTGGGGTCCACCAGTTAGCCCCTCGTTGCTAAGTCGGTTCCCCACCGCCTCCTAGGTTGCATCTACGTCGTCCTTTAAGTCGGTTTGATCCAAGCGCTCACGATGGACTCTCCGGCCCATATAAACAGCCCTATACCCCCCTCCCTGAGCAGTTTCCTGAAACCCTAATCCATATCATGAGAATCAGAGCCAGCTATCAATAGAAGATTAGTCATTCATATCATCTAGTCTTATAAATAGAAATAGTGAGATAGAGAGTGAGGGAAGGGTTTGGAGGAGGTGCCGGCCTATCGGTGCTCTCTCTACGGCTTGTACCTTGATGGATTCAAGTTCTATCTGAGCTTGCTTCTGAGATTTTTTTAGTAATCAACTTCTAATTTAAGTAAGCATCTTGTTTATATTGTTCATCAGGTTTGCGACTCTTTTGAATGCTTTATTCTCTACATAGGGGGAGTAAAGTATTAATCGTAAGTGTAAGCGTGGTACTTAGAATTGGGTTAATCGTGGATGCACCCTGCATTCCGGAAGGTGGTAGATCGCGTGAGTGACATAAGTTCTATATAGCCTATACTATATAGCTTCGTTGATCATTTGTAGTCCATCTCCTGTCTTTAGGCGCACGTAGGATGCGGTTGCACAGGAAAGCATCCTTTCCTGGTGTATTTCCCTAGTAATGCCCCCAGTTGGATAGTAGAAGACATAAGATTATCCAAGTCAGAACTAGAGAACTTTAGTTATCCTCTCTACGCTCCTATTTATCCTTAGCCTTATTGCTACTTCTAGTTAAGTTAAACCTTAACATAGTAGCTACCCCTTGTTAAGTTAAACCGTAGTTAGTCTCACATGTTTTCCTGTGGATACGATACTTGGAATACTTCTGGTTGAAAGCTACAGCGGTATCCGTGCGCTTACGGATTTATCTGTGTACGTTTAATATACCAACAGACGGCAAAGAAACTTGTGACTTTGGGTTATCATACACATGGGAACCGGTTCATTTTCTTAATTGGGCTAGTCCACTAGGTCACTAAGGAACTCCTTCCTGCCTTCTCTCTGTTTTCTTTTTTGCCGTTTGTGTGTAATGCCTACCCCTCTAGTGGTACGACCTTCCGTCTCTCATACCCCCCTCGGTTTCTCTCGACTTGCACCTCCATGGTTAGGCTTATCATCTCTCATAGGTTCTATCAAATACATTTGGTTTAAGCGCAGTAGCAAAGCCAGGCCAGTTATCGAAAAATACATATTAGGTTTTGGATTGTTAGACATTTAGGTCAATTTAGACATATTTTAATCTAGAAAATCAGCAAAAAAAGTTAGTGACAAGTATGTGGATGTGTGATCTATCCACAAAGACAAACATGTTAAACATACTAATCAAATGAATAAATAAAGCAATAAAAGTTGCAAGTGTGTATCCAGAGGTAGGGCCGGAGGTGCCGATGGCGCCACTCGCCCTGGTCAACATAGTGGGCTATTTGAGGTGTCTGATCATGCTCAATGTAGTACAGGGAGGGACCCATGTAGTGTTTTTGCAGGTCATGTATGGGAGCATCAAAGGGAAGTAAATAATCGTTCTCCTTCGTCGTGTTCTTGCTTTGGTCGCTAGGTACAGGAGGGCGCCATACCCTGGGAACATGGAGCGAGCGAGCAGTCGTGCAAGATGCACTCTCCAAAAATCGGTTTTAGAGGCCTCCTCTCCCAACACTTGTGCATGCAGGAACGGGGATGGAGAAACAAGAACTTTATCGTGAGACTGGCGGAGAGCGCCTATATACTTACATGCATTGGACCGGAAGCTGAAACAAGAGTCAAGAAGTCAAAGCACCAATGGTCACAAAGACAAAGCAACAAGGGTTGTCATGATGACCATTAACCGACATCGGTCAATGGAAATCGAAGCGTCAAAAAATGCTTTGATGACTCCATTAATCGGACACCATAACATGTTGTTGTGATACCGGCACCTAATGCAGAAGCGATTGCTTGGATCTACCTAAGCGAGATGTTCATGAGAGATCGCATACACTGCACAACAGACTCGATGTTTGGTAACGAGGTTCGACTTAAGCCTACGTCACCGGGGCATGCTTACAGGTGCTTCTCCCTGATAACATGACACTGACACCGACCGCCCGAGCCCCCGCGAACCTATCGCTTCGTCTTGCTTTCTCACTCTCGGGATTGAGAGGGTTACAAGTATAGCCCCCTCCTCCTTTTATAGAGGGGCGTGTTACAAGAGCTAGCACCTAGCTCACTTAACCCTATACTGCTACAATAGAAGTCCACTGTAACCCTATTATTATAAATAAATATTCAACACATTTTTAACACATGCCCCAAGTGGCAAAACCTAGCTCGTCTGTTCACGACTCAGACGTATCACTCCTCTAGTCAATTTCCCATATAGGATGACACATTTGTTGGACCTAGCATTTAGTCTAGGCCTTAGAATTTATTATATTTTAATTGAATAAAATTGGGCCAACCCAATTACAGTCCAACTAAACTTAAGTGCACCAACATTTAAAACGCCAAGACTCACATGCATAGCAACAGACACTATGCTCCCACAATTACAGACCAACATGGAGAGATTCCTTAATAAGCTCACTTAGTTTCAGTAGTCCTCATCATTCACTGAGCAGGTTCACGAGCTTTTTGAAGTTGTCGTCCGATGATCCCCCTTCGGCGATGCACCGGCGGGCTGCGTCCTTGAACACCCGCGCCCTGTCCTTGATATCGGCGTCGCCGACGACCTGCTCCACCTTGCTCCTGAGTTCCTCCTTGCTTACGATTCCGTCGGCGTCGGGCGTCACCGCCAGGCCGGTCCTCCACACGTTGATGATGTAGCTCCGGTTCAGGTACTGGTCGCAGAAGTAGGGCCAGCACAGGAACGGCACGCCGTTCCTCACCCCCTCCATGGTCGAGTTCCACCCGCAGTGCGACACGAAGCACGCCACCGCGCGGTGCGCCAGGACCTGTCAACAATGAAATGAAACGGCAAAGGGAGCCCGTCTTAGTCTGATCGACTGCTTATTATGGGTTCCGTCGATTGAATTAGATGACCTGTTGCTGGGAACACCAGCTGACGATCATGCCCTTGACAGCGACACGCTGCTGGAACTCGTGGAGCCACGCCTTGTTGAGGCCGGGGGTGAAGTCCGGCCGCACCACCCACAGGAACGGCCGCCCGGTGATATCCAGCCCCTCGGCCAGCTCCTCGAACTGGCGCGCGTCGAAGATGGTGATGCTGCCGAAGGCCACGTACACGACGGACGCGTCCGACTGCGCGTCCAGCCACTTGACGCACCGCTCGTCCTCCGGCAGAAAGTGCCCCACGGGCTTCTGGAACGCTGGGTCGGCGAACAGCGGGCCGATGGGCAGGATGCTGGGAAAGAGCTTGAACGCGCCGGCCTCGGCTTCGTAGAAGGAGTTGCTCACCACCATCTCCGCGAGGTCGTTCAGCTTGTTGTTCCGGGTCACCAGCTCGAAGATGATGTGCTGTCCCTCGGGCTCGCCGGCGTTGTTCCACGACAGCTGCGACGAGTGCAGCGGCGGCATCCCAGGGGCGAGCTGGAACGTCTCCTGCCGGACTGGCAACCCTGCACAACGCACGGGCACGTCAGAATGGACTGCAATACACTCAGGCTGCAAGTAGCAAGTCTGCCGTTTGTTGCTGTCAAGTATGATTCAGAGTAGAGGTCTGTAAATTAAGAAACCTTAAACAAATACTATCTTGATCGATCTGCCTTAGATTTGTGCGGTAGAAGGTCTACGTGGATCTTAAGCGTATTTTAGTACTATATAAAAGTACTATAACGAACGGGTAGAAAAATCAGTAGTCACCCTTGTCGCTGATGAGTCCTTCCTCTATCAGATTGGGGATCTTGAGCATGAAGGCGAAGCACGCCGTGGCCGCCGGCCAGAAGGACACGACCCGGATGCCGAACTTCTTGGCGACCTCGAAGGACCAGCCCATGTTGACGTCGCCAACGAGCCACTTCGCCCTGGGCCGCCCGGCGGCCTCCATGTCGGCGAGGAGGTTCTCCAGGTAGCCCGGCATGTGGCGCGAGTAGGCGTCGACAAGCTTGTTGATGTCCTTGCGATCCTCGTCGTCGGCCAGCCCGTCCGGGATGGACGCCAGGTGGATGCCGCCGCCTAGCGCCGCCGCCCCGCCGCCGGAGGCCTCCAGAGCCCCTACCACCAAGGCGTGGTCCACGTCGGTGTTGACGAAGGTGACCTCGAAGCCTTGGTCGACGAGGAGGTGGGAGAGCTCCATGAGCGGCGTGACATGGCCCTGGCAGGGCATCGGCAGCACCAGGACGTGAGTCTTGGCCATGTGACCCATGTCTAGCTAGCCTCCTTTCTTCTTCTCTCTCGATCTATCTCTTTCAGAGTATCGGGAGGCGAGCTGACAGTCACTACTGCAAGCCGGAGAAGATAAGCTATATACATATACATATGTAGGAAAATGAGCACGGAATTTTTCTGGCTCGCCGGCCAACAATTCCACGTTGGGTCGCCCTCTCGAGCAGTACAACGAACCAATAAAGGCGTCGTTCTCTTTTGTTATAATTTGTCTTTTTCGATTTGTTTTTCTAATTAGAACAATATTTTTCTTTCACAGCAAATCAGTCGGAACAATATTTTAGTTTCTTTTTCCAGCGAAGCGAACCGGGTCAAAGGGGTCAACTAGGTTACACCGACCACTATTCAGAAGGTCACATGGCAACTGGCAACAAAGGATTCAGTTGTACGTACGTGTATTCAGCCAGATACAAACAATGTAGACTGAACCAAATGTCTGTCTGGACTCTGGAATCAGCTTCAGCTTCATGTGTGCAGCGGAGATCAGGAAAAAGTCCATGGACGAACTTATTAACTGGAACCAGGATCTGATCATAAAGCAGGCGGTTAAAGCCAGGGTGGGAGCTGGCCGACTAGTTCAATCCCTGGCTCCTACTGTCCTACAGTGGCCTCCAAAGAAGGCTGGGTCAAGTGGCCCTTAAAAAAAAGCTTATTAACCGGAGTCGGCAATTGGGATCGGAGTCTTTCAGGTCATAAACTTTGCAAAGAACATGTAGTGTATTGAACATTGCAACCATGCTATGTAAATAAAGTCCACAATCAGCCATTTTTAATGTGGTAGTGCGCTTCCCGGCTTTCCGCAGATGATTCTCAATCAAAAAGGAAAAAGAAGCGGCTGGTGTGTACTAGGTCAGTGTTTAGGTGATGTTGTATATAGTAGGTGACTGGAAACTGTGTTTGATTCAGTCAGAGAGAGCATCATCCCCTTGATCTTCATCGAATGGTGTTGCTCTTCTTCTTACTTTCTCTCCCTCCTCTCTGCACTTGATGACTGTTCATCCGCATCATGACGGGTCCCGCCCTCGCCGGCTTTCACTCGTGCTCGGTGGCACATCCTCGCCGGAGCCATGAGAGTGACATTTGACACGCGTGCTGGTCAGACCTCATACGCCTGCAGTAATTATTCTTTAGTAGCAGCGCGTGAAACATAGACAAACGAAGCCATAGCGCGTGAAACATAGACAAATGAAGCCATAGCTAAATGTAGGGATGAAATCAAATCAGATACAGAGGGATATCAATAATCTTGCATTTTTTTAATCTCGAAACTAAATACAAATCATGTCAGGTACTCCTTCCGTCACAAAAGGAATGAATGTTTGGGATGTGTGCCGGTCAAATTTCTTAAGTTTGATAATGTTATAAAAAATATTAGCAACACGTGTATCTCCAAATAAGTTTATTATAAAAATATATTCGATAATTCATCTAATGATACTAATTAAACACTGTAAATATTAATATTTTCTTATATATATTTGATCAAAGTTATAAATGTTTGACTTCTCGAAAGGTGAGAATGACATTCTTTGAGGCGGAGGGAGTACATCGGATATTGATATCTATCACATATACATATTAGAAATCCGATTTTGAGTATTCAAATTCGGATACGGTACGGATATTAAATGTTCAAATTCAGATACGGATAATCCATATAAAATTTTGATCCTTTTGGGACGGACGAATATCAGAAAACATCCATTATGTTTTCATCCCTAGCTAAATGGTTTTGATTCGCCACATCATCGTCGTCGCTACAAGCCTATAAAAGGCTAGGCAGAATGGAAGATCTTTAATTTTGCAAGTACTCCTCCATCCATAAAAGAATGTAATTCTTGTTGTTCGAGGAGTTAAATAGTTGGCAACGTATCAGATGCAAACCAATCAACATGTGTAAACTTAGAAACTATCGATCAGGACCACTAGATGTTGATCTAATAGATGGGGTGAGAGGTGGAATTTTTTTACGCTTAAGCCCCTCACCCCATCCATTAGATCAGCATCTAGTGGTCCTGATTATTAGTTTTCAAGTTTGCATAGGTTGGTTGGTTTGCACCTGATATGTTGCCTAAATAGTTTAAACTTTGACTAAAGGTTAAAGCTATATAAAATGTACTAACATTCATAATACAAAATAAGTTTATTTTTTAATAAATTTATTTGAAATTATATAAACGTTAATATTATTTTCTATAAACTTAATTAAACTTGAGATAATTTGATTGAATGTCATAGTTGTATTTTTTAGTGGGCGGAGAGAGTACTGCACTAAAATAGCTAGCTTCAGTGCACGCACGAATCGGAGTGAGAGCGATTGCCATCTCCTGCAATAAAAGAAATAAAATCGAAGCAGCCAAACGTGCACGCGGGAAGTGGCAATCCGGCAACCACTACTATTTTCGTGACCGTTTTATTTATCCGGCAACCACGACTCGTAATCTAATTTACGGTAATCTGCCGCTCCTGCCTAGCTCGCCGGCTGCTTGCACCGCCTTCCAGTAATTTACATTTTATTACAGCATGGGTCAACATGGCACACTGATCTATAGGAGCTAGCAGCCGCTGAAAGCGACAAGCGATACGTATTGACCCAGCAGTGAGGTGCTTATCCTTCGGAGCGTGCTGTGTTGGGCACTTTGGCGCCTTGTGAAAAAGTCAGGCGGGCGGTGATCGTTGTTACCTGCACGGCTGCACGTCCGGGCGTGGGTGTAGAAAATGCGCGAACCACGTGTCGTTGTAGCGCGGCGCAGATACTGAATCATTCGTTGTTATGATAATAGGCAATTTCCATGTCATTTTAATTCTATAAATTAACAGCATGATGATGACATATAAAGAATTATTAATCATTGAAGTCATGATATCGATTATATCAAGGTAAAACTACATGCTAGATCATATATCATGTGAAACATATGAAGATCATGAATCATAACGAAGAGAAACACATGGAATGATATATATTTCATATCTGCAACAAGCATAAAGCTACATACGAAACAACAGGACTGTAAACAGGAAACACATACGTGGAGCATATATCTAGCAGGAACAGACATAAGATATCTTATGAAACGACATGACTGAACATATAAAATAAACTGATGGACTGCTGAAACATGTAGAACGTAAAACAGAGAGAAGATGAAAAGATCATACCCTCCCATCCGCAATTCTAAAGTTCCAGCAACTTCCTTCGACATGCCGTAAGAGAAGAAGGTGTTCCCTCCGCCAGGAAGAAGATGGCGACGTCGGCGATCGGGAAGAAGACGACGTATGGTGACGGCGGCTCTTCGGGCAGTCGCGTAGACGCTCCCCAAAAACCTAATTGCCGATCCCCCGTGCAAGGTCCCGAACGACAAGGGCTTCGGAGGCAACTGCCCTCTCGCTCCTCCGTGCGCGCAGAGTTACGAGATGAGGAAAGCCATCGAGCAACTGAATCAAGTTTCTGGAATACGTGTGTTCTCTATTTAACTGGAGTTGGAAGACTCGCAGGGAAAGCGGAGAGGCTATGGAGGCATGCGCCGGGAAGACCGAGAGACTCCGGGAGATCAGGAGTCAGGCCGGCTTAGAGTTGAAAACTCCCGTGGTTAGTGGATGCTAAAAAGTTAACACGCCACACTACGCCCGCCTGCCTGCCCGGGCCCGGCCGCCGGCGGCGGCGGCGCGCGCGCGCGTGTGGTACGCCTTTGTCCGTTTCTCAACTTCTCAAATTAGACGGATCAATTCCAATCATTTAAGTTGAGTCAACGTCCTTTTAACTTCCAATCCGGTACAAATAATAATACCCACAATTACAAGCCATAGAGTTATTGATTTATTAGATATATAAATGGGCCTAGCCCATAATAAATCCAACAATCCCCACCAAACTCTAGGGTTTGTAACTGTATAGTTCCAGAATCATAATTCTTTGATATACCAGTGTTTCGATGGAGACTGTTAAGTTGAACATCCACCTAGAACAAGAGTTTCACTCAGTCACAACTGAACAATGGACTATGCCTTGAATTGATAGTTTTGTGTGAGGTGAGATTCACTCAAGTCCTTTGCTGGTACTAGGTTGCAACAAGCATCCCCGCTGTTTGAAGCATATAAGTCACACTTCTATGTCTTTCATGAGTGTTTAGGGATAACCCAGGTCCCATAGACTGTGACCAGCAATCTGACTCATATAGGTGTACTTCTCAAAAGATGTTCTGTAGGACAACATCTCATCTTTATAAGACTCTCAGAATACATTAAGGTAAATACCATCCTGCCTTACAGAAGGAAAGATATGCATCACAGATAGGTTCGTAGGGAACTTTCCTCTCAATCTTCTCATAGCCTGTTTCACCACTCTACTTTACGGGATCTCCGATCACATAGAGCAGGTTACCACTACAGTAGATTTTTCACGTGGGTCTCATACCCATCTCTCTCGATGCACTTTCTATCACATTTCATGACAGTCCCTTAGTGAATTGATCTGCCAGATTATTCGACGTGTGGACATAGTCCAACGTTATAACTCCGGAGGTTTTCAACTTTCTGACAGTCTTTAATCTTCTTTTAACATGCCTTGTGGACTTCATGTTATTCCTGGAACTGTTGACCTTTGTAATCACAGTCTGGTTGTCACAGTTCATTGAGATAGCCGGTATTGGTTTTTCAACTACCGGTAAATCCAATAGGAAATCACGAAGCCACTCGGCTTCACTCCAGCAGTGTCCAATGCAGCGAGTTCTGCTTCCATTGTAGACTTCGTTAAGATAGTCTGCTTGCAAGACTTCCAGGAAACAACGCCACCTCCAAGCAGAAACACATATCCGCTTGTGGCATAAAGCTCATCAGCATCAGAAATCCAGTTGGCATCACAATAGCCTTCCAGCACTTTTGGATGTCCAGTATAATGAATACCATAAGTCATAGTACCTTTCAGATAACGCAACACTCTCTCAAGAGCACGCCAATGATCATCTCCTG